AAAACAATAAACAGAGCTATTAGGCCTAACACGGTGTACCAAACAAATAACGTTCAACTCTTCTGATGCAAAAATCATTTTTTGACACTAGAGGTCCAGCCCACGAATTACGACAAACGTAATGTGTGCCACAGTATAAGCTGTAAGCTTGGAAATACGAAGAAAACCAGAATAAAATATACAAGTTTTATCTTTAAATTGTTATTTTTAAAACATTTGAATATGTTAAAGATCATGGTCTGCTGCTGTATAACCATTTTAGCGGTAGTTCTAATTACAATGTGACATGTCAGATCTAACTTCAGGCCAAGTAGATCTACTTTCATGACATTACAATATGAGATCAATAAATCTTGGCTATATAAACGTGAAACACTAAAGGCTGATGAATAGTACAATCGCCGATAATTAATAGTTGTATGCAAACCTGAAATGTGATAAGTTAGAGCCCACTAATGCATATAACAGTATTTATCCAATTACTTAGCAAACTTTTCATTTATTCAAAAATACTTCATTAATTTGAAAGTAGACAACATGTCATAGTAATCTAAGATACGTATACAGTAGTTAATGTCGTTCAAAGTTTTATTTTTAAGTCACATGCTTTGGATGTATAATGAATAATTATTAAAGCACGAATAAATAGTAGCGTGTTCAGATTTCTGCAAGAGATTACTACATGTGCATATATAGTGTATATCTAAAGTAATTAATATTGCCACCGTTTATATAATACTTTTAATGTCATATTTTCTTCATGCACAACATGTTCTTTGAAATATGACATATTTATGACATATGATCCTGCTTGTTTGTAATAGTAATTAACGTCATAATGTAACTATATACTTTTAATAATTCACGCCAAGGAGCATCGCTAGTTTCAACGCCATTGTTGATACCAATCACTTTGGAAATAATATTGTAAACATGTATACAGCACATAGAGCACAGAAGTATGCCGTATTTACACCTAGTTTAGTTGTAGTAATTTTTAAACACGTAAATATGTTTATGTTCTCTTATTGTATATCATGAAACAGAAATATAGGTATCATTAGACGTAATGTAAAGTAGCATTGTGGGAATATTGGTAAGATAACACAAACAAACAACATAGTGTTAACAGCTGATTATACTAGCTTAACTCATGGACATATATTGTACTGTTACGTCTCCGTTCGTTAGTTAATTTTCCGTAAAAATTCTTTCCGAAGAAACTTTACCGATACAAGTCCTTTCTTAAATAAAACTGGTTTATTCTTTCTGAATACAACTTTGCAATACACCTAATTTTCACAGTCGCGCTATAACAAACGCTATAATTCACAACGAACGTCTCACGTGCTCGACTCAACTGTCAATTACACATACATTACCTTCTTGTCGTCACTGCTTGGCGGCTTATATATACAAGACTATCGCATATCTAGTAGCCTCTCGAGACTTCACGAACCTTCGAGAATATGACGTGTTACTAGCGTCATGTGACCCCCGCTGTCGTAACACTGCCCCTTCCTTGGTATTGTTCATCCCGAACAATAGCCATTTACACTAAACCAATAAACAATTAACAATAACTTAATTGAATGTACAGAATTTACAAACATAAA